ATATACAGTGGTTTCCTCGTCATTAGCGTGTCGTGTGACATGTCATTTCCTAGACCCACCTGATTACTGTCCTATACTACACCTGCGCCTCAGCGTGTGGGATGTTTACAGGTGACTGGGCGACTCTTCCGACCATCCCTCTACCTCTTCCGCCTGCGCATAAAACTGAATGCGTCTTTCCTGGTAACGCACACAGTTGTGCAGACCGTGATTCCTGCCGTTGTCCAAGTTTGAAGAATGCTTATCATCCACGCAGCAGTATTGGTATACCCTAGCTATGGAGTCCGTGGCCACGCCCATTCCAGGCTCTGAAATCGATTGTTAAGTATCATGCATGTTGATGGACGCCTATTGCACGTTAGATCGAAATAGGGTCTATCCAACCGGTGGGGTCTTATCAACACTCAGAGCTATGTGGGCGGTCCGCAGCAACCGCCTAAGTAGTTAGCACTGTTCATAAGACCTGCTTTGCTTTTGATGTTGCCCGAAAAAACATGCTAGCCATCATATCAAGTAACTCTGCCAAGAATATACTTCAACTTCAACAACCGAATTCAAAAGGGATTGATTCAGGGACTGCGCAAACTTGGAATCTACGACTTTGATTTTTCAAACTTAGCCACACGATCCGCTTACTATTTCTTGGAAGACATCGATTCACTGGTGTTCCCCACTCCAGGTCAGGAATTTGGGTTTCTCGATTGAATTCCATGTTCAAATTCCAGAAAAAAGTATTTTAGTGAACCCAAGAATAGTGGAAGTTGGTTTCCACTGTCCTGTACTGAAACAGCTCCCAAAAGAATATTCTGATTTTCTGAATGACCCAACATCGAAAGGCACAGTACTCGTCGCATTCGGATCAAATGTTGTTTGGGACTATGCACCTCCGGAAGTCATGGCAGCAATGTTGGGAGCCTTAAATGGATTGACTGAATACAGGTTTGGCCGTTCGATAAGTTATTAGTTGAATTTGGTTTAGCTCATCTGAAAAATGAAGGATAAAATCGAAACTACACTCCACCTCATGGCATGGAAAGAGCTTGTCCGCTACATATGTAGTTGTGAGTTTGGGCGTATGTGTAGAGTTTGGGCAGTTTCCGCCGGAGAGCAGTGAGGGTAATCCCATCCAGTTGTTTGAGCTGTCTTATTTGCAACCTTGACCACTGGGGATGAGGGGCGTGTCAGTGAGGCTGGACGTGGCCTGCCACCAGCCCGTCCTCCACCAGCTGTGGAAGCTGGCAAGCGACTGCAACTGGTGGGAAACGACTCATGCGAACGCTACATGCAGTCTTCTCGTTTGCCGAAAAAAAGGAAAAAACGAGCTTGGGCAGCGCCAAACCAACCCCCCCCCCCCTCCCTTGACACCCCCATCATCCGCAACGACATGACTGTACACTCGAAATCTTTGAGATGGGGTGGGCGTGGCCGCCTACTCCAACTAAACGTGATGGTGGTTGTGCTTCTGGAGAGCTATTTTCTTTTTGGCATAATTGCGGTCGTGTCTATGTCCAGTACAGAGACAAGATGAAAGTTGACTCGAAACTGGATCATCTCACGACTAAAAACCCATTCCTCTGCATGTTAAATCCACGCCCTACCCTGTCTCAGGGATAAGAGTAATACCACAACGTCTAACATCTCTGCTGCCACAACTGTGCCGGCAGTCGCGCCCCCTACACCGGCTGTCTTCATGAAGTTATTGCTTGGGAAAAAGCTAGCGTGCTATATATCCATGCTAATCACTGGCGCACACTCAATAACTAATAAGAGTTTCATCAACCATTTCTTTGGCTTGTATAGACTAATTCTGGTTCGACTCACCTATCCAAAGTTCAAAATACATTAATCCTGAATGCGCCTTTTTACAGGGTTGTGTTTTCCTACAATGGTGACCTGAAGCATGTACGCTTTCTAGGGCGACATGTCAAAGTTACTCGATGGGCTCCACAAAAAGAGATCCTGGCCCATAACAAGACCGTAGCCTTTGTTAGCCATGGAGGATTGAAAAGGTTCGTTAAATTTAGGTTAATTCGGAGGTATTGTACAATACAGTTGATTGCAGTCGCTCACGGGCATTTCACAGTAACCGGATGGGCGTAGACTCATGACCATTGCGCCATGTGGGCGTCTTCGCGATATGTAAAAGAACAGGAGGTGGCCGCAATAAAAACCGCTGTGGTTTCGAGTCTCGCGCCCATTTTTAACTTATCGGTTTCGGGAAAACCGCTTAGACTGGCAAGTGACGATCATGTGTTCAAAATCCATAATATCATCCAAGAGCAGGCTCTTGGATGATTTTATGGATTTGAAAATGTAGTGGTTCGCTAACTGCATATTATAGTTCTTTACTTAGTGATCTCGAAGTTAACAAAATTCGTCCTTAAAGCTTGGTTTTTGATTAGGAACTCTTTATCAAAAGTAGTTTGCTCTATGAAACGTAATTCTCCAAATCACATTTCTTCATTGGCGACAACACTCTTGCACCCGCCCACTGTAGTGGCGCTAATTTTGTCAAGAAACCTAATCCTTGCTGTGTAAGATGATGATATTTTCACATCGGACGACGAAATTGTCACTTTTGCTATGTAGTTCTGTCCTGCATGTACACATCTATGTAGACCTCGCTTTCCGTGGAGGGGAGGGGCAGGTCCTGAATCGCCTACCGCATAGGCCAATCAAGCCTTCTACCTTGAGGAGCCGATAAATTGGTACGAAGTTCGCTATAGAGGATAAAACACTGACATATACATCGGCTGGCTCCGCAAGTCGCTGTAGGGGCCATATTGCAGAAGGCCATACGATTCTGGAAGTAGGACGCATGCCGCTCCCAGAGAGGGAGTGATCAATGGCAAGAGCTCCACTCTCTATTCTTTATGAGACATGCTTTTATGACTCCACACACAGTTTCCAGTATTATTGAAAATATCAAAAGAATTCAGTAATTATTGAAAACTAATATGCCGAGGTTACAAGAAGAGACAAGCTGGAGAATATTACGCACATACTATCATAATCCCTCTAAACGTTAGGGCGTGTGACGCGGCGTGGATTGGAGTTCAGCCCGCTTGTCGGCGCAGCTTTTTCCTCCAAGATGTCATAGTGAGCTCGCGACAATTGGTGGAAAGATTGCACCGGCTGCGCTCTAAGCAACGCCCGCCACATCCGCATGCAGGGGTTATTATTGTAAAATATGAACATCCATAAATCTATTCGAACATAACAGAAATAATAATATTTTAGCCTGAAAGACGCCGTATGCGGAGCTGTACCAGTTATTTACATCCCCATTTTCGCGGAACAATCTCACAATGCTGAAGTAGCTCGATTTGCTGGCTTTGCAGAAGTTCTTCACAAACATCACCTCACAGCGAATCGTATTGAGCAGGCAGTGCGGAAAGTAGCAGGTAAAATCCTTATCGCTCGCTTTGTGTAGCGTGGTTCTTAAAGGTGTGTCGACTCAGTGTGGATGTTGTCAAGAGAAAGCTCTGCCTCC